GAGGAAGGAAAGAAGGAAGGGAGGGAGGGAGGAAGGAAGGAAGGAAAGAAGGAAGGGAGGAAGGAAGGTAGGTTGGTTCCTGAGTTTTGTCTGAACACTTCATGGAAGACGATGGTACCATTTCCTGAGAAAGGGAAGAACCAGGAGCAAGCAGGAGGGCGTCAGGGCTCTGCCTGCTTGGGCTTGGTGTGATGGGTTTGAGACGCCCCTGAGGCACCCGAGTGAAAGGTCAAGGCGGCAGTTGGATGGGCCAGACTGGAGTTTGGGGCGAGGTCAGGACTGCAGCACGGGGTCTGGGTGACACATAAAACATTTAAGCAACAGGGCTGGTGCGACGCCCCCCAGAAGAGGGCCCAGGCTGCCAACATGGAGGCTGAAATGAGGTCGATAATCCTCAAAGATTATCCCCTTGGGGAAAACGAGGCAAAGAGCCAGGGGTCTAGGTCAATGTGCCCATCAGCCTGCTCGAAGTCAGTTCACCTTAGGCAGCTCAGGGCTCCATTCACCTAAATTTGTACTTTCTCAGCAAAAACCCATGGAGCACATTTGCCACATTTCGTTTAAATAAATGCTTTTGTGTTTCAGCATTCCTTTCTCTCTGGTCTCATCTTAAACACCTTAAGGGATTCGAGACAATTTATCGGAGAGCACATTGTCTTAATTGGCTTTAAAAAAAAAAAAACACCTTTGAAACCAACACACTGATACTATAACCAAAAAGATGCAAATATTCCCCAGTTTCCTAAGCTGTCCAGTGAAACGTGGCAAACCGCGGCAAGCATGTCTTTTGGTGACTCCAGTGTTGGTCCGATGGGCTCGGGAACCCAGGAGTGCCGGGCCTTCTGGAAGGAGCTCAGGACTGATGGGTGCCTCAGAGTCACGTTTACTTTGGAAAATACATTTCAGATATAGGGAGGTGGGTGGCGGTCGCAGGGGTGGGGCGGGAGATAAGGTGATGCCGTGTAAGGAACCCTGACCGGGAAAGAGGAAACTTGGATTCTAAGTCCTGATTTATGCTGCGGGGTCCTGGCAAGCTATCCCCACTCTCAGGCCTCTTTCTACGTGAAGGGAGAGAGGTGGACCATCTGTAGATTTTGTGAGTCTCTAAGCTGATAAAGACCCCGAGGCCTCGGGAGGTAGAAGGTGCCCGAGAGAGGCCACCCTCCCTGGCACGACCCAGGCAAAGAGCGCGTCCCCAAAGGGAGCGTCTCTGGGACAGCGGCCTTTGGTGACTGTGGGAGAAGTGCCGAGCGTCTCTTTTTCTGACTGAACAGGAGCCACGGGGACCCAGGACACCCGCCCTCCCTGGAGATGCTGCTGGTGAGCGTGGGGGCAGGGCGCTGCAGGACCTACCTGGCTCACAAAGATGTTTCCAGCCACACTCAGGGTCTCAGTGGCCATGGTGCCCATGGTGGCCTGCATCAGCCAGCTGATCTAGGAGGCAGAGTGCTCTTTGTGGGCAGACCCCAGAGTTGGAGAGAGTCAGGGGTGGGGTGGAAATACCGGATAAGTCTTCCTCCCAACTCCCAGCCCAGCATAGCAACCCCTCACCTACATTTCTCCTTCCACACCTCCACTGATGGGGGCTCTCCTCTTCCCGAGGCCACCCATCCACCCGCGGGTAGCTCCGATTATCACAGCAGTGCCTTTAAAAAGCTGTCTCCATACAAAAAGAGTCCCTGGACGAATATATCTGAGAATTGCTGGACACACACATCGTGGAGGATACCAAATACGTATCAGCTTAGTAGAGGCTCTGAGAAGCCCTGTACGAAACTTATTTACGCTCGTCCGGTCCAGCTTCGCAAAATTATTTGACCACAGGATCCCTGTACCCAGTGACATGTGTTAACCTGCCGTGGAGCTGGAGTTTTGGGAAAAAGGCTCTGGAAAACATTGTATTAGAGAGGGTGTAGACCCTGGGAGCAGGGGATTCTGGGAGGGTGTAGACTCTCGGAGCAGGATTCTGGGAAGGTCCCGGCCCTCAGAGAAGGGGAGTTGGGGGGTTTGGGGGTTGGGTTTGGAAGCAAGGCATTCCGGGAGAGCATGAGCCCAGTGAGTAGGCAGCCGTGGGAGAGCCCGGCCGTGGCATTGGGAACTCACCTTCTGGATCACCCACTGCATGAGGCCCACATAGTAGAGAACCGACATGACACAGCTGAAGAAGATAACGATGGGCAAAACCTGCCAGACAAGAGCACAGGCCCCAGGGTTAGAGGCAGGTAGACCCCAGACAACCGACTTCGTCCAGGGCTGTGCCGCTCAGGGGCCTGACAGGGTCCGGGAGGAAGCTCTGAATTCACTGCCTGAGGTCACACACGGGGCCTCCTTGGAGGCACTTTGTGTCCTCTCTGTTCCGCTCTGAACATCCCCCCGGCCCCCTCCCCCCCACAGACGAGGCCTGTGCCATGGAGGAGAAGCAGGACTCGAGTTCACCCCTTTTATTACCTCCTCGTCTGTAAGGTGGGGACAAATGCCTGTTTCTCAGGTTCTCGCGAGGGTTAGAGGAGCTGGCTCAGGGCCTAGCACCTTGCACAGCGTGCACCCCCTTCACGAGCGCAGTCCCTGGCCCACGAGGACCCCTCCGGTGCTTTGGGCCCGAGTGACAGGCTCGTCGTCTCTCTGGCACAGCACTTCCACTCAGGACTGACGAGCTCAGAGCCAGACCCACGTGGGCCCGGCAGCCGGTCCCTCACGCTGTCACCACCTCTCTGCCAACTCCAGGCCTCGTCAACTCTTCCTTCGAAACTTCCCTCGCAGTCCTTCCCTCCTCGCCAGGGCCCCGGCCCCCACCCCGGCGCCTCTGCCCTGCGGCCTGATTTATCCCAGCGAGGCCTACGACCACTCAGATGTCTCTCGGTGGAGGACGGGTTTCAGGACCACGGGATGACCACGAAGCAGCACACGGAAAGTCTGGAAACGAGACTGAGGGGCTCTCCGTGGGCAGTTATGGAGTGATTTCCGAGCGAGAAGAGGGAAGGCGTGACCAGGTGTGTGCTGTGCTATCCGGTGTGCAGGGGAGCGTGGGGATGGCATTGTGCGTGGGCCCGTGTGGGCACGGAGTGTCACTAAAAGGGTATGCAAGGGAGGCAGTGGCCTTGGGGCGGGAACTAGGTGACTGTCGGTGTGGAAGGGAGACTTACTTTTTACCGCCTCCCCTTTGTGCTGTTGGGATGTGTTCTCTGTTCCAAACGGTTCTAAAATAGGTTATGCAGAAGGGCGCCTGGGTGGCTCAGTCAGCTGAGTGACTGACTCTTCATTTCGGCTCGGGTCGTGATCTCGTGGTTCGTGAGATCGAGCCCCACGTCTGGCTATGCGCTGACAGCGTGGGGCCTGCTTGGGATTCTCTCTCTCTCCCTCTCTC